TATATAAAAAAAAAAAAAGATAAATACAAAAAAAATATATATATATATATATATATATATATATACAGAGAGAGAGAGATAGAAAGAGAGAGAGAGAGAGAGAGAGAGAGAGAGAGAGAGAGAGAGAGACCAGTTTCAATAATGATGAATAGACCGTTTTATTTTGAAGTAAAAAATGGAAAAGCCCGCTGAGTTTATTCAAACACGCCCAATGAAGTTATGGAACATGCCCACTGAGTTCATAAAACACGCCCACTGATTTTGCGGAACACGCCCACTGAGTTTATGGAACATGCCCACCGAGTTCATGGAACACGCCCTCTGAGCTTATGTAACACGCCCACTGAGCTTATGTAACACGCCCACTGATTTTGCGGAACACGCCCACTGAGTTTATGGAACACGCCCACTGAGCTTATGTAACACGCCCACTGAGTTTATGTAACGTACCCACTGAGTTTATTAAACACGCCCACTGAGTTTATGGAACACGCCCACCGCGTTTTTTGGAGCGCGCACACGGAGTTTGCCGAAGTATAGCGCATTCCCCCAACCCCATTCATAAACAAAATGAGTTGCTTACATCAAGGAAAGTTAATTTGGAATTTTGAAGTTTTATGTTGTCCGTCAAGGGCAGCTCAAATCCTTTTTGGGCCATTTCTGAAAAGTCAAAAGAAAGAAAGAAAAAAATAATAATCAGTGCTCTTTAGATTTGCTCAAACATTTGATGCAAAAAAAAAAAACCTTCCCTTTTGTGTGATGGTTTATTATAGAAAGCTTGACCGCGCGTGTTCTCAAAAGTAAGGAACTTGAGATCAGCGCAAACGAGTTCCGACACAATTTGTCAATTAACAAGAATCTTACTGCCTGATAACAAGAATCTTACTGCCTGATTGCTGAGTGGAAAGTTAGATTTTATTTAATAGAGCACGGTGATTATGACATAGAACAAACATTTAAAGTATTCAAAGTGCTAGACATATGTCTCTTCTCATTCAAGATTTCAGTATAAGAGAGGCAGATTCTGTCTCTTATCACAAGGTTTAAATAAGAAAAAAGGGGGGGGGGCAGATTGTGTCTCTTATTACAAGGTTCAAATAAGAAGGGGGCCGATTGTGTCTCTTATTACAATGTTCAAACAAGAAGGGGGCAGATTGTGTCTCTTATTACAAGGTTCAAATAACAAAGGGGCAGATTGTCTCTCATTATGTTGTTCGTCTTTCGCCCGCAAAGATGACCAAGTTTTTTTTGATTGAGTGGTAGCCTTCACTTGAGCTGTATTTTGTTTAAAGTGAGGGAGAGTTGCTCAATTCGCAAGTCTCACCCTCTCGTCCTTGCCTACGTGACCCAGTAAGAACTTGGCCAAGACGTGTGCATATAGACAAGTATGAGTGGACTTCTCTGCTCTTCATGGGTTCTATAGACGTCACAGGAGTTGGACTTCTCATTGTATCAGACGTCAATGTCAATGAAAGGTCTACGGGTCTCCATCTAGGGGTTTGATTTCAGAGTTAGCCTTCTCTTAGATGAGTTGCCATCCAAGGTCAACGAGTGCCCTCCACACGGTGGTGCTGGTCGTGGTTTTGCTTGTCTGGGCGTTTTCTTGGGATTGCTCTCTGGTCCTCCTCCTCAGACTGATTCACTCAGTTAAGACCGCTTGGCCACCCAGCATCCGCTCTTATCATACCCTAAAGGCCACACACCTCTCAGGTAGCTTAAGGCCACACCTCTCTCAAGCAGCTAAATCCCCCACCTCTCCCCAGCAGCTAAAGCCCCCACCTCTCCCATACAGCTAGTGCCCACACCTCTGCCTGCGCCATCCACAAGATTCGCTTTGACATCTGTATATATATATATATATATATATATATATATATATATATATTTTTTTTTTTTTTTTTTTTTTTTTTTTTTTTTTTTTTTTTAATTTTTTTTCTTTT